GGTATAGCGGGAATAACTACGCAATACTGCGACCAGGGTCATCCTCCATTTCAAAAAGTTATTAGGCAGTTTATGTCATTACTGCGTACGGTCCACCTCTGATCTCTTTTCGGTTACTTTTGTTTTAATGCCACTCGCGAAGATGCTTTTCATGTAATCTGATCGGTACTTTCTTTACATTGATTAATGAATATGGATACATCCAACAGCCTACCTGAGAAATGGAGTATCACCTCCTTTCTTTGAAACCGGTCACAAGAACACACACGCCACCTAAAATGGAAGTGACTAGATTGTACATTTATCGGAAATCACTTTGTGAAAAGCTAAACGATTACTAAAGCACACAATTGCACTGAAGCAGATAATAACATTGACCAAACTGACGAAACAGAAAATTTAATCCCACTAAGTCTAGGACTCAATATGTGCACAAAAACACAAGAACAATGATCTGATTGTCAGAAAAACAAAATTGATCGACGTAATCTTAATAACACTCAGCAAGATGAGAACCGGGATGACAAGTAAAATGTAGATCAAACAACTCATTTCACTATGAAAAAATAATGAGATCTCTGTAGGATAGAATGAGTGGTGGAGGGCCCGTAGATTAAGGGAAGTGAGAAGAACACATGGATATTGATGGGTGTATGCGGTTAAACCGGGGAATGCACGATTCGGACTGTGTCACAGTTCAAGTTTCCTTGCTGATGAGAGCGTGAGGATCGGACAAACGATATTACACCATTGCTTCTTCGTGTGAGTGACTGCTATCCCCACTGTCGTGATGGAAACGATGTCGAAGCGTTGATGAAGACGTCGCGTCCGTGTCGATGTTGGTGACAGCCACATGGCCGTTATTTAGCGTTTCCGCAATGATTGTTGGCCCAGCAGCAGTCACCGGAGAAACTCGCTGCTCATCTGCGTCGCATTCGGAGTTCAGTGATTCGCTGATGTCCGAAGTGGGCATGCATTTTGCAGCGTTTCGTGGTGCACCGTTAGCCAGTAGCTGCGTTACCTGAACAATATATTACATGGAAGCTCAATGACACGGAATGCACATGCCTGTGCGTTTTTATTCGCCACCTGTCGCGCAGCGATTTCGGCGCGTTTTTTCGCACGCTCCGCGCGACGTAACCGCTTGAATTCCTCTTTCTCCAATATCTTTCGTTGTCTCCCCAATCTCAGCTCCTCCGCTTCTTCTTCATAATCCTCTTCATCCCATAACAATAGCTTACATAGTCCTCTCAACACTCGTAAAAGCACAACCAGGAACGTTCCAATAACCTGAATTGTATATACAGTCATAGGTAGCCTAACTCGCTAGACTTCGCTCAAAAGCGCTCAAAAGCGCCCAAAAAGAGAAGACAGGAAAAGAAGAAATCAGAGGAATTCGGGCGCTTCTGAGCGCTTTCGAGCGAAGTCTGGCAGTGCCTGATTTGTATAGCACAAAGCGCGCGTCCGCGACTCAATGCTTACACATTGAAGGTCCATGTATTATATTTCTGTTTCTTTCTCAGAACAACAAGCGCAAACAGACGTGAATGTCAAGGCTCATTTT